CCATTTTCTGTGGCCGTTTGCTGTCCGATACGCCGCGCATCAGCTCAACCTCTGGCCTCGTGTCTCCTTGCCGGAGACCTCGCCCACACTGCGTTGGACGGGGGAGGTTGGCGATGCGTCGCGCTTCCGGGTGTGGGGTGCTCGTGCCCTTGTCCGCGATACGTCCGCGGACAAGCTCTCCTCCCGCACGCTTCCCTGTGTCTTCCTTGGCTTTGTCCCTGACGCGCCTGGCTGGCAGTTTTACCATCCCACCTCGCGCCGGGTCTTCGCCTCTCAGGACGTCACCTTTGACGAGTCGGTCCCTTTTTACCGTCTCTTCCCCTACCGCACTGCCCCCCTCCCTCCCCCGCCGCTTTTCCTTGCTCCTGGTCCCCCTCCGGTAGACCCCCTCCCCCCTCAGGGTCCTGCTCCTTCAGGTGTCTCTCAGGTAGACCCTCCTCCCGTCGCTGAGCCTGTCGAGGTCACAGGTGACTCAGGTGCTGCTGCAGGTGGTGCTGCTGGGAGTGCTGAGCCTGGGGGTGCTGAGCCTGCGGGTGCTGGGCCTGGGAGTGCTGGGGCTGCGGGTGCTAGGACTGCGGGTACTGGAGCTGAGGGTACTGTGCCTGAGAGTTCGGCGCCTGGGGGTGCTGAGCCTGGGGGTGCTGCGACTGGGGGTGCTGAGCCTGCGTGTACGGAGTCTGGGGGTGCTGAGCCTGGGGGTGCTGCGCCTGAGGGTACTGAGCCTGGGGGTGCTGCTACTGAGCCTACGGAGCCTGGGGTTGCTGCGTCTGGGGGTGCTCCGGTTCGGGGTGCTGAGCAGTCTCTCACACCGCAGCAGCTTCGTGACTGGTACGTCCGGCGCTTTCGCCGTTCTCGTGGCTCTGCTGGAGTTTGGGGTACTGGAGCTGCCGGGACTGGTTGTTCTGGGAGCACTGAGACTGGAGCTGCTGGAGCTGGGGACTCTGGAGCTGGCGGTGCTAGCGGAGTTGGAGCTGCCGGCTCTGGGGGTGCTCTTCCTGGCGGTACTGGAGCTGCTGGAGCTGACGACACTGGAGCTGACGGTTCTGGACACGGTGGTCCTGCTGGTTCTGGAGGTGCTGGCGAGGGGAGGTCTGACGCTGCTGGGGCCTCTGGTGCTGACGTCGCCGACTCGGGGGGTGCTGCGGCGGAGGGTGCTGGTCCTGGTGCTTCTGGTGCTGCGGGTGCTGGAGGTGCTGGCGGAGCTCCGCCGTCGCGCCTGTTCTTTGACCCTCCGTCGCCGTCGGCTTTGCCGCCGCCTGACACGGTGCTTCGCCAGGTTCTTTCCCTCCCGTCTTCCACTGGCCTTCCCCTCCAGCCTGGCTCCCCCCTCCCTGCTCCTGTGCCTTACACTGCACAGCCGGACTCGCTTACGGAGCGTCGTGAGCCTACGTCTCGTCCTGCCTCGCCTGTTCGCGCTGCTCGCACTGCTCGCACTGGTCCCACTGGCCGTCGTGTCGCGCGTCCGCGTCCTCCTCCTGTTCCTGGCACGCACATTATGGCACTTCGTCCTTCCACTGGTCCACAGCGTGTCCCCCTACCGTCTCCACCTGCGTCTTCTCTTCCTGACGTTCCCGACCCTGAGTCTGACAGTGTTCGTGCTGCCCACCCTACTGTCACGCGTCTTCTCGCCACTGTTGTCACTGACCCGTCGTTTGAGTCTTCTGCTGCGTCTGCCCTGGTCGCTGAGCTTGTCGACTTTGCTGCTGCCTGTCGCCTCGACTACGCCGCCAGTCTTGTTGCTGGGTCTGAGTCTGTCTGTCCTCCGTCCGTCGGGGGTGAGTGTGCTCTTGGCACGGACGTCCTTGAGGACAGGCAGGAGGACTTTGACTCTCTTGCGGCTGCTGTACCTCATCTCGTGGCCTGGTTGCTTGCCCCTGAGGGAGACCCGGATGCACTAGACATCCCCACTCCGCGCACTTATGCAGAGGCGATCTCGGGTCCACAGGCAGACAGCCATGGACGCAGAGATGGCATCCTGGAAGTCCACAGGCACCTACGTCGACGAGGTTCCCCCTCCTGGGGCGAACATCGTCGATGGCATGTGGATTTTCAGGGTGAAGCGGCCGCCAGGTTCTCCGCCTGTCTTCAAGGCTCGTTACGTTGCTAGAGGCTTCAGTCAGCGTCAGGGGGTTGACTTCTTCCAGACCTTCTCCCCCACCCCGAAGATGACCACTCTTCGGGTTCTACTGCACGTTGCTGCTCAGCGTGACTACGAGCTTCACTCTCTTGACTTCAGCACAGCGTTCTTGCAGGGCAGCCTGCACGAAGAGATCTGGCTGCGCCGCCCACCTGGCTTTACTGGGTCGTTTCCTCCTGGTACCCAGTGGAGCCTCCGGCGGCCAGTCTACGGTCTCCGCCAGGCGCCACGTGAGTGGCACGACACACTGAGGACTACACTTGCGGCTCTTGGGTTCGCGCCGTCTACTGCTGACCCGTCGCTGTTCCTGCGCACTGACACGTCGATGCAGCCGTTCTACATTCTCGTGTACGTCGACGACTTGGTTTTTGCTACTGCTGATACTGAGGCACTCGCTCGTGTGAAGTCGGAGCTGCAGAAGAGACACACCTGCACTGACCTGGGTGAGCTGCGTAGCTACCTTGGCTTGCAGATCACCCGGGACAGAGCACGCCGCACCATTACCCTGACTCAGTCACACATGGTGCAGCAGGTCCTTCAGCGCTTCGGCTTCCAGTTCTCCTCACCACAGGCCACACCTCTGGCTACCAGCCACTCGCTCTCAGCTCCACCTTCGGACGAGTCCGTAGAGCCGAGTGGCCCGTACCCAGAGCTTGTAGGCTGCCTCATGTACCTGATGACTTGCACGCGACCTGACCTCGCGTACCCTCTTAGCATCCTTGCTCGTTACGTTGCGCCTGGGAGACACAGGCGAGAGCACTGGGAGGCTGCTAAGAGGGTGTTGCGTTACTTGTGCAGTACGTCAGGCATGGGGCTGGTGCTTGGAGGACGCGACAGAGTTGTCCTCACTGGTCACTCGGACGCTTCTTGGGTGGACGACCTGGCTACGCAGCGGTCGTCACAGGGTTACACCTTCAGCCTTGGCTCTGGTTCTGTCTCGTGGCGGTCCACCCGCTCTTCTTCTGTTCTCGGCTCTAGTTGTGAGGCTGAGATCTACGCCACGGCCATGGCTGCACAGGAGTTACGCTGGCTCACCTACCTGCTGACTGACTTGGGAGAGCGGCCTAGTTCTCCTCCAGTTCTGTACGGTGACAACAAGGCGGCCCTTGCCTTGTGACAGGAGCACAGACTGGAGCACAGGACGAAGCACATTGCTCTTCGCTACTTTCTTGCTCGAGAGCTTCAGCAGCGCGGTCAGCTTCGGCTTGTGTACGTGGACTCGAAGGCCAACACTGCTGATATCTTCACCAAGGCGCTCCCGCCTAGTGATCATCAGCGACACTGTACTTCTTTAGGCCTTGTGTCCACATTCCCTCATTTGCTTACTGCTTGACTTTCTTTGTACTGTACTTTATATATATCTTGTTGCTTGCTTGCTAGGTTTTGATCACTGTGTTGCTTGTCTTGTACTATATCTAGCACTGCATGTGAACTGGCCTTGTGGCCTTTGCTTGTGCTCGGAGTGTGGTGACGTTGTGATCCACCCTGGGCTTGCGTTGCTTTGCTGGACTGGTCTTGTGACCCTTTGTTCTCCCCCACTTTGCCTATGGGGGTGTGTTAAATTGTAATGTGTTATATGTTGGTAGGCTGTAGTGGGGTAGCCAATATGGGGTACAACCCCAACTAGGGTTTGCTACTTGTACCCAACTGTTTCATTCAATGCACCATTCTTGCCTAGTCCTGTTGAAATCATTGTGTGCATGTATGTGTATTTTTTTATGTTCATCATTGCATCAGCAATGCATGTCTGTTAATTTTAAAAAAGGGGTTCATTTCTATCATTTCTCATTGGTTCATTGGCGCACTCAGTGACTCGTGTGTTTGCCACTTCGAACTGGATTTGATAGAATGAATCTCCTTTTTAGAGTTAACAGATTGTATTGTTTCATGTGCTAGTTGATTATTCAAAGACTTTGCTATTGACTTCCCCCCCATGCTAGGCAGGGGATGACTAGCCTAGTTTTTGGGTCGTTAACTATCACGCATTTGTATGATATACTGGTGTGGTGCATTTCAGCATATCATATGCATACAAAGGCATTTTCATGCGTGTAACGGTATTAAGTATGCATATATATATATATATACATATCATGTCTCATCATTACATCCATTTAAGCATGCATGGCGTGCAATTCATTACTAATATTCATAATATTTATCACAACTTCAAACAATAAAAGATATAATACAAACAGTATAGCATTTATGCACAAAACTACTACAAAAGACAGCTACTAACATTCAAAACTGTTCAACATGCACCATGGGGAGGGTGGCACTGTAGCTGGCAAATTTTATTTTCATGTTTATTAAAAAAAAAACACATGAAAAAAAAATTGTCAAAATCGATCGTAAAGGGTTGCTTCGCAACCCAAAAATCTACTGAAGGACCAAGAGGCTGGGTACTGTATACGCTCTGATTGATTTCAAACACACACAAATTACATTAATCACACACAACAGCACATGGGAAGATCAGGGGTAGGAAGACTGGCAAGTCAGCCAGTGTCCCCCAATGCCTTGCCAGCATTCCTGCCCCTGATGCTTTGGGGTGGGTGACCTATTTTAGCTACTCCACACGAATCAAAGCAAACCTATCCAGACACACATGGCTGAAAGACCCTTAAACCCCTCACAACCATGACTCAGCAGGCCCCAGCTGCATCAGCAGCACTCTGCATGTGCTTGTTCACCATGAACATACCAAGCTGACGCCCCAAGCACTGATGCATCGAACATCAGCACGTTCAGCGTGCATCAGGCTGGGCTCAAAACCCTAGACCCCGTCAGCCATCCTGGCATCAAGCAGCAGCAGCAGCAGCAGCAGCAGCAGCAGAAGCAGCAGCACAAGGGTGGTGCTTTAAACAGCAGCAGCAGCGGCGGGTATCTTGGCCCCCATGAGCTGCCCACCCCATGTCACACCTGCTGCGCTGCTGCGCGCCAGCACAGCGTACCCGCTCACTGTGCTGTTCATTCCGCCTAAAAAGCCACCTGCAGGCGGCTGCTGCGCTCCCCCTTGCTGCTGCCCGCCCTGCTGCTGCCCGCCCTGCTGCTGGCGCCCCTGCTGCTGGCGCCCCTGCTTCTGTCCCCCCTGCCTAGCAGCGCGGCCCACTGCGCGCATCAGCAGCTCCCGCCCCATGCGCCTCCCACCCTGCCCGCTCCGCGCGCCCCCCGCGCTGCCGCCGCCGTTGCGCCCGCCGCCACTCGTGGGCGGAAGCGAGGCGGTGGGGAGCACCGCGAGCAGCGCGTCGACGGTGGCGGCGTCCGCGTTCTCGAAGAACGCGTCGAGGCGCGCCTCCGCGTGCAGCAGCCACCACCCCGCGCGCTGCTGCCAGTCCGCCGCGGCGAGCGGCTGCGCGAGGACGGCCGTCGCGGCGGCGTCGCACACGGCGCCCTTCACGATCGCGAGCGAGTCGGGCGGACCGCCCGCAGCGTCGACCAGGAGCGCTTCGACTAGGAGGTTATAGTTGCCGCTGGCGTTCCTGGAGTGAGCGCGGGGACGAAGGGGAGGGGAGGGGATGGGAAGTTGGGAGGGAAGAATGAGGGCAAGATGCAATGCGCTCGACGAGATCAGAAGATGCTGAGTGGAGGAACGGGAGGCCCCGAGGTGCCTGCCTACCGGTGCCGCACTTTCTACGAATCTGATTGGAGGGTCGTCATGCGGAAGGCAATACTAATTACAACCCTCCGACTAGCGACAGGAAACGGATGAGGGAAGCGCACAAAAAAATACGGCTTTCTCGCGATGGTAGACGACAGAAAATGAAGCAGCGGAGCCTACTTGAAGATGGCGACGTGGAAGCGGCCGTCAAGGATCGCCTGATCCGCGGAGCAGTTGGCCAATTGCGCGCCAACATCGGCCGTCAGATTTCCGACGGCCGTCAGGTTCAGCGGAGGCCCGTGCGGCGAGTTTCCGCCAGGACCGCCGGGTCCGCCGGGACCGCCGGAACCGCCGGGACCGGCACCAGGGCCTCCGCGCGCGGCCCCCGTTCCCTGACCGCCGGGAGGGCCTCCGCCAGGCGGACCACGCTGCGCCAAGGCGGACGACGACACGAGAAGGAAGATGCAGGCGAGGAACAGTGCCCTAAATGCCATGGCTGATGTCGTCCTGCGATCGAAGTGTCGAGAGACTGTTTCCTAATTGCTGCACTATAATTTCGAGGCTGGAGCTTGGGTACGGGAAAATCGAGGATGGAATGAAAGCTTGGTGAGTGACTGAAATGGCAAGAGAGGTATGACGATTTATAGACGAGTCAAAAAGAGGCTGACTGCAAACACGTGAGACGCGAGTCAAAGCCGCCAGGACCTGAGCTCTCGGTTTGAAAACCCATCGAGCCGTCGTTTGATTGGGTGATTGCAGAGGTTCGAGTCAACCGGATCATATGTGGAGGCTCGGTCATACCAGCAGTTGAAAATTTGCGACCTCTTTCAACGCGTGAGTCAGCAATATGGTATGGCAACATTGGCTGGTGCGGCACTGTATTGTGGTTGTTCACATTATCGGGGCTCATCTTCCTTATTTTTGGCATATTTCCCTTGGAAATTGGGTTCCGCGTGCGTTAGAAAAGTAATATAACGATACAGTTGCCAAAAAAAAAAAAAAGTGCAAACACTTCGAAGCTGATTGTTATCCTTTGAAGTTTACATAGGAACATCCGTATAATTGTATCACTCTCTCCATTTGGAAAATACATCCAGTGAAACCCATCCACGGCCGCAACAAAACTCTGCATCTCCGTAAACGCATCCTAAAAAAAACATGTATCCACACAAATCAAGCGAACAACAAATCCAATGACCACCAGCTCCACTAAATCGTTGTAACTCCTATCCCCTTCCACCACATCCTTCGCCCCTTCACCTCCTGCTGGTGGACGCATACGCAGTGGCAGTATGCGTGTCATCATCCCCCCTGCGCCCGCTCCCACTGCTCCCTGCACTGTCAGTCCTGGGCCAAGGATTAGGAGCCCTCGGCCCCTCATACCCACGCTGCTGGTACTGGTACTGCTCATGAGGAGGCGCTGTGGGTCTCCTGCGGCCGAACAGGTATCCCAGGCCAAAGCCTGTGGCTGCTGAGGCCCATGTGGGCACTGGCTGAGGGGGAGGAGGGGCTGTTGCAGCAAAGCTGACGTGGAGGGGAAAAGGGGGAGGACAGAGCGAGAGTGAAACAGAGGAGAGCGTCAACAAGAATTCAAGAAAGAAAGGGAATGGGAATAGGGTGATGGCGGCTCGGAGAGAGAGGAGGGGTGGTGGGTGGTGTACGAAGATAAGCACGCTGAAACCCATGAGCTAATAGACAAAGCATGAGCGCATACGAAGGTCTGCAACAGAAGCCCTATCAGCCCATATACTGAGCCTACCAAACATGCCGCCACCACCAACTCACCCAGCCAATTTCAAAAGTCAAGCAGTGAGACTTCTCAATCAATATCGACCCAGCCCATCCCCTATAGCAACTCACCCTGTGGAACCTTTCGGACCTCCCCAGAAGTCGTCAGATCCGGGTGGGGGAGGAGGAGGGGGAGACGGTGGAGGGGGATAGTACCCTCCTGCCTGCCCCGATGCCGGCCGTCCACCTGCTCATGTGGGAACACACGGGAGAGAGTCGGGTGAGATTAATGCGGAGACCATGAAAGCAGACGTGGTGAAGTGGGAGATAACTAAAAAATTTAAGAGAGTAGAAGCCCAGTAGCTGGCCTTCAAGCTTCCAGTTTCAGTTGTGAAAAGGGCGGGCTTGTAGAAGCAGGTGTAAGTGCAGGTTACAGGGTTACCAGAGGGGTGTGAAATGCATTGGTGACGTCTCAAGTGCCCTTTTCAGTCTCAAAAAAAGAGGGTTTGGTGGTGCAGCATACCTGAGGGGCGTGAGGTGCCGCAGCAGCAGGAGCGCAGAGCGAGAACGGCAATGTAGGTGATGATTGCCCATGTCAGCAGCCGACCCAGCCACGACCCCTCCTCACGCTCTGGCTGCTGCTGGTACTGGTGGTGCTGGAAGTGCTGCTTCTTTTGCTGCTGGAAGCGGAAGGGACGGGAGGGGGGAAAAGGGAGGATGGGGAGATTGCACGTAGTAAGGCGTCAAGTCAAGCAGCAAGAGAGAACAAAAACGAGTACAGGACTAGGGAAAACGGTGGAAAAACAGTGTTGTTTTGTGGTTGAGGGGTGGAGTCGAAACCGGCGGAGGTATGAATACTAAATTTCTTCAGTACAATCAAAATACACTTCTTCCAGTATAGTCAAGAATTGGAGAAAATTACCTTGAACCACCCCTTGTTCTTCTCCTTCTTCTGAGATCCTGGAAGGAATACGCATGATGGGGGTTTACAGACCGGAAGCACACGATGAGTAGGGATGATGTGGTGAGGAAGAGAAGGTAGTGGAGAGGGGAGGGGTGGAGAGACTAAAACACCACTTCCTTGCTTCTTTGGCGGAAAATTGGGCGCCACAATTTCTTTGCTTCTTTCTTCATGCGTACGCAACAGAAAGTGAATGGCCACCCAAAAAAAAAAAAAAAAAAGGTAAAGGCGATGTTTGATACAGAGCAGGAGAATCCAATCAAATGGGCACGCACGCAATGCGCATGCGCTATCTGCGACCTGGTGCACGGGGGGTAAGGAGTGAAGCTGGAACGAAGGGACGCGGGCAATGAGGTGAAGGAGCTTTGAGTAAATTTTAGTTGATTGCTTGGAGTATTTGAAGGCTTGGATTGTGTGTGTACCTGGCACGGGCACAATGGAAGACTGCAGGCCACAGCTGCCATAGAGGGCTTTTGAGGTGCTGCAGAATTCAACTGCTTTGGATGTTTGATAGCTAGACTTGTGTGTACCTACCTGGCACGGGCACAATGGAATACTGCAGGCCACAGCTGCCATAGAGGATGCGAGGGTCATCCGGGTAATCAAATCCCTGGGGAGAACGGGATTGGGAGGGGGGAGGGGGAAAAAGAGGGGGAGGGGAGAGGGGGGGTGGGGGGGGGCACTTTGAGACTGTCTCAAAACTCTGCAAGCCACAGCTGCCATAGAGGATGCGAGGGTCGTCCGGGTAATTAAATCCCTGGGGGGAACGGGTTTGTAAGGGGGAAAAGAGGGGGAGGGGGAAAAGAGGGGGAGGGGAGAGGGGCGGGGGGGGCGGGGTGGGGCAGTTTGAGACTGTTTCAAAACTTTGCAGGCCACAGCTGCCATAGAGGATGCGAGGGTCGTCCGGGTGATCAAATCCCTGGAGGATGCGAGGTTGGGAGGGTGGATGAACAGGAGGACGGCGGAGGGGTACCAGGCAAAACACTTGGGTGCAGCCGAATAGCAGGTGCGATGGAAGCTTTTTAGGTTGGATAAGAAAATTGGGTACCAAGTGAGTAACGCCATATTGGAAAACGCCTTAATATTCCATGTGGAGTTATTTCTTCACTAGGTGGGTGGGTGGGTGCGAGGAGGGCGGGGGGGGGCATACCTCGCAGGAGACTTGCGTGACACCGAACTGCAGGTGCGACGGAAGCTCCGCCTAGCAGCGTAGGGGTATTGCGCGAGTTGTGCGCGGAGAAAGGGGAGACATGCATACCTCGCAGGAGACTTGCGTGACGCCGAACTGCAGGTGCGATGGCAGCTCCGCCTCGCAACGCCACTGCACCGCCACTCCGTCCGACCCCACGTTCACACACTGCACCACGTCTGCCGCGCGGAGGAGAGCGAAGGGGTGGGGGTGCTGAGACTCAGCGGGAGAAAAAGGAAGACGAAACCGCCTCTGACAAAATAAGAAAGTGATGCTGCTGTGATGGGTGAAACAAAATAACAAAAAATCGCACTCCAAGTTCTTTCAACTTACCTGGTTGGAAATCGCATCCAGAGAGACAGCTGAGCTGCGGCACGGGAGCCACGCGACGCGCTGTCGTCATCGCACCCTTCCGCAACGTCAGCGCTTTCACGTCCTCCAACAGCACCGCTCTGTACCCACCCGCACCCTGCTGCTGCTGCTGATAATACTGCTGCTGCTGTCCGTATTGATGCTGCTGGTGCTGCTGATAGTCGTACGCTAACGCGGGGGATGCGGGATTAACGAGCAGCAGCACCGCTGCGATGAGCCATGCGAATTTCCAACAGAAATTTTCGCCAGCGATCCATGGAGCGAGAAAACGGCGCGGAGAGCGGGAAAACGATGACGGTACGGGATTCGACGCCATTCGTGATTCGAGAGATCGCACAGAACAGCAAGCTTGACGACGGTGATTTGGAGATTTACAGATATCCTTCCCGAAACAAATACGAGATTACAGAGGCTGATTTCGAATTCCTTTAGGACCGCTTTGTGCAATTCACCACCGTGAACCGCGACTCACCACTTTAAACAGTAGGCGTGCTACTGTCACCTGCAACTCCGTTTCCTTTCGACTTCCTCAAATTCGCCAGGCACACGCAAGCCCCAGTCGAACAATGCCACGTGGTATGACATGGTTGGTTCGGGAACTGAGTTCAACGTGGATACGAGGCTTGTCAAACTAGCATTCCGCACCTTCGGGGAGCCTCCCACAGCCCAGCCGACAGACAAGCGATGTGTGCGACAGGGACATGCGAGCCTGGTTACAGTTACGAAGAATGCCAACAAGGTGTGGTCAAAGTGTTTATTTATTGTGCCGTAAACCAGCACAAATAATTGAAGCATGTAGTTCAACAAGCCTGAGTACAGAGCTATTGGTAGCAGCTAGTTTTTTCAGCCAAGGGATGGTGTTCCCCACATCCCCAGCTCCAAATCAAAGGCACCATATGGACCACCAAAATGCTTACTCCTAAGAGCACAACCTTGGAGAAATCAGGGTAAATGTCGTCTGGTGTACTCCCATGTTGCGATTGCGGCGCTGACGTGGACGTTGAGAGAGCGGATGAGACCGAGTTGGGGGATCTCCACACAGACATCCAAGAGCCGGATGAGATCAGCTGGTACGCCCTCTTTCTCCCGACCAAGCAGGAGCACCTGACATGAGTCATGACGCACCAGATGTTATGTTACAATTCATGAGAAGGACAATGTTTTGAGACAAAGGGAGTTGCGCGTTTCAAAAGAGCCTTGCCGTAACTCAGCTGTATTAGCATACGATGCTCACCGTTTTCGCAGGGAAGTCATAGGTATGAATGGGCATACTGTTTGCAGTCTGCTCCAGAGCCACCAGAGTGTACCCCTGGGCTCGTCGCTGCTCCAGGTAGCTCGCCAATGCTGGTATCGGAACCTCTTCTAATGGAACCCACTTCTCTGCTGTGACACTGCACAGGAGAAAAGGGAAAGGGGCACAGGGAGAGGAAGGGAACAGGAAAAGGGGAGGAGTTCTAGCGGGTTGAGAGGAGTGGGGTTCAGAGGAAAGAGTATTGAAACAAACTAGAGAGACTAGACATCAAGACACAAATCATGAGGTAAGAAGGCTGCCCGAAAATTGGTTGAGTCGTGGAAGTTTGGTTGGTCATTGCACGAAAATTGGCGCAGCGCAACACATAAGGCACGCAGTGCGCACTTCTCTTGCATCCTCTCAAAGGCGTGCTGTGCATCTGGTGGCATGACTCGTGGCGCGCCCCACCCACCTGATGAGCTGGAACTGCCTGTCATTCACCACTGACGTGTCCTGGCTAGACGATTGGCCTTGACTATCTCTTGAGAGCTTTCAAAAAAGGTAGAGCAAGAAGCACGCCCCACCCACCTGATGAGCTGGAATTGCCTGTCATTTACCACCGATGTGTCCTGGAGAACTAGACGGTTGGCCTTGAACACCTGGCAGGGGGGTTGGGTGTGGGACGAGGAGCATGGAGCATGGGCATGGGGAATGGGCCGCGGCGATGGGAGCGAGAGGAATGGGGCCTAAGGCACGGGGCACGGGGCGAGGGGCATGGCACATGAGGCGTGGCGCCTGGGTGAAGGTAAGGGAAGTGAGCACGGGTCTGTGCAGAAGGCAGGGAATGGAGGCCAACAAAGAGGTCATTCCTTAGAATAGACTAAGGGGCCAGCCGACAGGACGCCTGCCACGTGCAGTGCAGGGGTGACTCTTGACGCAGAGGCAGGGATGCAGTTGAGTTGAACTGCCAGAGCGCCTGACTTAGGAAACACTACAAGTATAGGATGCCTGCTACAGAAACCTCACAGGACAAGCTGGTTTACCATCTAGGGTTATCAGCTCCAGGAAATTCTTCCTTCCTGACTGCTTTTTAGGGGAGTGAAAACTTGCGAGGCGCCTCCGCAACAGCGAGAGCCAAGAACGCACGCACCACACGGGCAGCAAGGTTGGAGTTGCAGACGATGAGAGGAGCCATGACAATGATGTCCTGGCATGGAGTGTGCTTGTGACGGCCTGGAGCAACCTATCTGTGACGCGCCCAGCAACAACATGAGCCAATTCTGGGGCGCCTCAAAACTCGTGAGGCGCCTCCGCAGGAATGACAAGAGTCAAGAACGCACCTCGCATATGCAAGCGAGCCCTGCGAGGTTGGGGATGCGGCCGATGAGAGACGCCACGGCGATGATGTCCTGGCGGGTGCCTGTGGCCGTCTGAGGCAACCTTTCAGTGGCCTGCCTCGGCAGCAGCACGAGAAAATAACACGCACCTCGCACGTTCGAGCAAGCCCTGCAAGGTTGGGGATGCGGCCGATAAGCGACGCAACGACGATGATATCCTGGCGGGTGCCTGTGGCAGCCTTGAGCGACCTATCTGTGGCGCGCCTCGGCAACAACACGAGAAACTAACACGCACCTCGCATGTCCGGGCGAGGCCAGCAAGGTTGGGTATGCGGCCGATAAGGGAAGCAACAACGATGATGTCCTGGCGGGTGCCTGTGGCGGCCTGCAGCAGCCGCTCCCAACTCTGAGTTGCTTCAGCAGCAACAACACGAGAAACTAACACGCACCTCGCATGTCCGGGCGAGTTGGGTATGCGGCCGATAAGGGAAGCAACAACGATGATGTCCTGGCGGGTGCCTGTGGCGGCCTGCAGCAGCCACTCCCAACTCTGAGTTGCTTCAGCAGCAACAACACAAGAAACTAACACGCACCACGCATGTCCGGGCGAGTAGGGTATGCGGCCGATAAGGGAAGCAACAACGATGATGTCCTGGCGGGTGCCTGTGGCGGCCTGCAGCAGCCGCTCCCAACTCTGAGTTGCTTCAGCAGCAACAACACGAGAAACTAACACGCACCTCGCATGTCCGGGCGAGTTGGGTATGCGGCCGATAAGGGAAGCAACAACGATGATGTCCTGCCGGGTGCCTGTGGCGGCCTGCAGCAGCCCCTCCTTGTGAGGTGCCCCAGTGAATACAAGAGCCAAGAAACACGCACCTCGCATGTCCGGGCGAGGCCGGCAAGGTTTGGAATACGGCCGATAAGGGAAGCCACAACGATGATGTCCTGGCGGGTGCCTGTGGCGGCCTGCAGCAGCCCCTCCCTTCCCTCCACGTGGCCTCGCAGCAGTGCTTCTTCTTGCGCCTCCTCTCCCTGCTGCTGCTCCGACTCCCACCGCATGCGTAAAGCTGCGGGGAGAGTCGTGGTGTGGGCGCATGTGTGGGTGTGGTGTGGGTGTGAGGTGGTTTGGGTGTGGTTGAGTGGGCGAGTGGGAGATTGGGAGCATGGGTGTGGGTGTGGGTGTGGGTGTGGGTGTGGGTGTGGGTGTGGGTGTGGGTGTGGGTGTGGGTGGAGGTGCGGGTGTGTATGTGGCTAAGATGGGTCCGTACGTTTTTGGAACCACGTAAACGTAATGTTACGCGTAAACGTAAACGTACGCGAACGTACGCGTAAATTCGCGTAACATATGTCCGGGCACGTAAAAAATTTGTCAATCGGGGCCGTCGGCTAAGGGCGCGGGACAAGAGGCAGGATCTGAGATAAACAATGTTGCAGTTATGTGAGTGGGAGGAGGGAAAGTGTGCTCGGGTTGGTAAACCAGCAGATGAAAACCGTCACCACAAACTATTTGGGTCGAAACATCGTCGCACCAACCTTTGGTTGTGCATCTTTAGCCAAAAAGAGGGTACAAGATTGTTTGTTGGGCAGCCCAAAAAAAATCTAACCTGCCGGCAAACGTAAACGTAATTTTGATCCGCACACGTAACGTAAAACGTACGTAAACGTAAAACGTACGTAAACGTACGCGTAAGATCCAACTTAGGTATGTGGGCATGGGCATGGCAGGAGCTAGGGGCGACGAAGGAGAGACAGGCGTTGACAGGGGAGGAGAAGGAGGATGGGTGGGAATGGGGTTGTGGATGTGGGCACGGGAACAAGGGTAGGTCGGAGAACGATGAGCAAGAAAAGCAGCCGGCCACAGGCCGCCCACCTACGAAATCATTCTTTTGAGTGAAGTGCATCTTTCACTCAAAAGATTCTCACCTTGGAGCAGAGCAGCTTGAGGCTCCACTCCCTGCCTCTGCTGCACCTGCTGCTGCTGCTGCTGCGGTCCTGCCCCTCCCTGGCCTGCATCCAACACCCGCTTCTTTCTCTGAAAGTCCGCCTGTCCTCCACCTCCCACTCCCGCTCCCGCTCCTGCTCCTGCCCCACTTTCTCCTCCTCCTCCCTCTTCAACCCCTGGCTCTCCTTCGTGGCCCTCAGCTGCTGCTGCAGTGCCAGTCCCCCCAAGACCAAGCGCTGCTGCATCGGCTGCCATGGCTGCTCGTAGTGACTCCCGGGCAAACTGCCCAAGGGGACAGCACGGGTGTAATTAGGGTGATGGGGTTGGGAGAGGCGATGAGGGTGGGAGAGGCGATGAGCATGTGTAAGTGTCGGGGAATTAAAGAGGTGGCTTGGCAGGAAGGGAGGCGCTTGGATTTCGGACTTCTCAGAACTAGGATTTGAGTGCAGCATATTTAAGTGAGACACGTTATGATTGAGGGTGAGGTGTAGGAAGCACAGAGGAGAAAGGGAGAGGAGAAATCTGCAATCACAAACAGAAACGGACGACTAATGAACGCTAGACAGGCAGGGGAAGAGCACAAACAACAGATCACCCCTTGAAGGAGATTGGCAGCTCATATTCAGGAAGCTTGTAACGCAGTTTTGAGACGTCTTTAAACTCACATTGAGGAAGCTTGTAACGCGGTCCAGAACAGCGGTGGGTGCACACTCAAAGGGATGAGACCCTGCGACCTGATGCACGTACACCAAGGACACACACATGCCATGAGGCGGTGCAGGTTCTATGGGGTACAATGGGATGCAACAGGGTGCAATGGGATGCAACAGGATGCAATGGGTTGCAATGGATACAGCTCTTCACCTCCTGTGCTGCAGCAATTCATCACTCACACCCTCATAACCAAGACCTCGACCCTCCACTTATCCTCCACCTACTATCAGCCTCCTAGAATAGCACTAACATATAATCAACATTTTCTTTAGCGAATGCACAGCACCACAGCTAACTCTCCCCCAAACCCTTCACCCATACACCTGCTTGCATGTTACCTCTGCTGCTGTTCTCCCGGGTTGCTCCAGCTGGGAGTCAAAGAAGGAGCACAGGAACATGCCCCGAGGCGTGACTGGCTGCTGCCTCTGAACAGAGAAACCGCATGCATGCCAACGGCTCTTTGACATATCCCAAGAGTATTTACCTCTGCTGCTGTTCTCCCGGGTTGCTCCAGCTGGGAATCAAAGAAGGAGCGCAGGAACATGCCCCGAGGCGTGGCTGCTGCCTCGGGGTCGAAGGTGTCAAAGTAGCGATCGACCGCCACACGCACCCTGGTGATAGAAATGGGAGGACCAGAAAGGCGGATTTTAAAGGCGCTTCATTGATAGGAACATGCTCTGGGAGGTGGCTGCTGCCTCGGGGTCGAAGGTGTCAAGGTAGCGATCCACAGCCACACGCACCCTGGCGATAGGGAGGGCCAGAAAGACAGAAAGAAGCGGAGGCTCAACGACTTTGCTTTCTTTCTCTTTTGTTTTGGCCGTGGGTGAGTGGGGAGGTGGGAAGTAATTCTATGTTTGTTTTACTGATTTGGCAGCTTTGGCAAGCTGTCCCGGCAGAACCGACCAGAAAGGGACAGAGGCTTGCTGACCCAGCCTACGTGCATTAAATAGCGGCAACCATCGAAACGACAATTCATTCATGGGTGGTTTGACCGACATAGACTGGAAGATATGGAGAGTGTGCATTGGGATGGGACAAGGTGGTGGGTAGGATGAAAAAGATTTTGTAATCGCAACGCACCGAGCGCAATCCGTGTTGGTGTTGAGATACGTCCATATGGCTTGAAACACCTTGCTGCCGCTGACAATGCTGGACGACGGAACCTCATTTGAACCACTCTGCATCCCACCGCCGCCGCTGCCCGCATTGCCGTCGCCACTGCTACTGTCTACGCCGCCACCAGCGCTGCCTGTAAGCTGAGGAAAGCGTCTAAGTACGCGGTGCAGCAACACCTGGGTGAAGGTGCGTAGATTGTGGTGGTGGCTGGTGACGTAGGGGAGCGTTGCGGGGAGTAGCTGGTGCAGGTGCAGCAGTTGCAGGGAGGAGTCCTTGGTGTGGAGAATGAGGCAGGCTGCAATTAGCACGTATGATGCTTGAGCCTGTATGGGGTGATGGGGAATGGGAAGTTGCGAGGATCATGACAGGGGGAGTTAGGGGAAAAGAAGGGAAGGGGGGGAAAAGAGGGTAACAGGGACCTAACATGCCTGTGCATGATGACAGCGGAAGCAACATAAAAAGGAAGTCAAGACACCAGATCACGAGAAAACGCAGGGGTCAAGAGATAGGGAGTGGAGACTAGGGAGATCGCTTGAAGAATAAGTATTCGCGAGTGAGTGGTAGGGGAGGAGGGGTGCATGGTATGGTATGGTATGGTATGGTATGGTATGGTATGGTATGGTATGGTATGGTATGGTATGGTATTTGGTATTTGGTATTTGGTATGGCATGGTATGGTATGGTATGGTATGGTATGGTATGGTATGGTATGGTATGGTAAGGTACCTGTGTCTTGAGATTGGCGTTCTGGAGATGGTTCAACACGTGTGTCTCCACCTGTGCAGGGGAATGGGCGGAAAACGAAGTGGACTATGCGCGTGTTTTCTCCGTGAGTGTGCGTGCGTGCGTGTGTGCGTGTGTGCGTGCGTGCGTGCGTGCGTGCGTGCGTGCGTGAGTGCAAGTATACTTGTTTGTGTCTCTTTAGAAATAGAATTGAGAGGGCGAGAGCGGCATACCAGGTGTGGGAAGTGGAGGAACATGAGGACGCCGAATATCTCCACATACTGCCGCACTGACGGCATGTTGTTGCGCTGCCGTGTGGTGCATGGTACAAGCGAAACAGGAGGGGACAGGAAGGGAACGGAGGGGGGAAGCGGAGGAACATGAGGACGCCAAATATCTCCACATACTGCCGCACTGACGGCATGTTGTTGCGCTGCCGTGTGGTGCACATGCGCGGTAGAGACGAAACAGGAGGGGAGGGGAGGGGAGAGGACGAGGACGGGGAGAGGGGTCAGCAGCAAGAAGGGCCGGCTTATGAGTTGACATGAAAAAATGACCATGTCAGCGAGTGACATCGAGGCACATTGAGTACACTCGCAGAAGTCACTGCGAGTGTCTTTAAGTGACTCAAATTCGAGCTCGAGAAGTTTAGATTCGTTGAAATTATCACATACATTTTTCCGCAGGAAGATGCAGGCATGCATGCACAGAGCACTCACGCACACACACACGCACACACCCACGCACACACACACACACGCACGCACGCACACACACACACACACACACACACACACAAACACACACACACACACACACACCCACGCACACACACACGCACGCACGCACGCACACACACACACACACACAAACACACACACACACACACACACACGTGCACGCGCGCGCGCGCGCGCGCACACACACACACGCACACACACATGCACACCTCTAGAGCCCTGCCGTAGAGGGCAGTGACAGATGGCAGCATGTCATGCGATATGAACGGAGAGAGCAGCGCAAGCATCTGCCACACCCGAACCTTCCTTCTGTGAATCTGACCCCACCAACACAAATAGAAAACCAGACAGTGAGAGCTGAGTTTTTAGTAGGAGACAAGGGTGTTCTTGCAAGTACACTTGGAAAGCAACAGAGAGGGGAGGGAGGCATGGGTTACGATGACACTGAGCGTGTGCCTGTGTGTCTTCCCACGACAAACATGAAGTGTGCATGAGTTTGTGTGTGCGTGCATGTCTAGGTGCTACCACCACCATCCTCCCTCCAACAACACCACCCTCTCTCCACCACCACTGCTCACCGCACTGTGCTTCTTATACAGCTCCTTTGAAAGCTCCTGATCCGTCACCTGATGGCCAAGATACAACAGAGGAGAGGGAGGGCAGTCAGCAAGCATCACCGTTTAAAGGCGGGTGGTTGGACCTATTGACCTCTTGCTCTGACCTCTTGACCCAGTCCAAGGGAAAGGCAGAAACGACTTTTGAGACGTCTCAAAACTGTTGTTCTGACCTCTTGACCTCTTGACCCAATCCAAGGAAAAGGCGGAAATGGTCCGAACAGGAGAGGGTCCGAAGCTGCTTTTGAAAATGGTTGAAAATCATTGCATTGCAAGCAGGCCCAAAAGAAAAGAGACAAGGCAAGGCAGACGAGTTTGGGGGTGTGAGAGAGTTTGGGGGTGTGAGAGGGATTGGGGGGAAGCGTACTGCAGATTCGAGGAGAAGCATGAGAAGCTGCTGACAGCCGCGGATTGCGTGATGCTTGTCAGATGACGTGGCAGGTGCAGACGTGGTAAGTGCAGACGTGGCAGGAGCAGGTGGAGTGGCAGAAGCAGCAGAAGTAGCAGCAGGTGGGAGGTAGAGCGATGCGAAGTGGTGAGCCATGATGGCGACACACACTCGAGCGAACATCTCAGAATTGGTGAACACCTGAGGTGAGGCCAGGGGAAAAGGAGGAGAGAGGGAGGGGGGAACAAGGGGTGGATTCGTGGCGAACGGCAAAGGGCAATTGCAGAGTTGAGCAGCCTGTGACACGCGTGTGCGTACGACTCATGCATACACGCACCCACATGCATGTGTGCAGACACCGAGAAGCACGCAAGTGCACATGTGCGCATGGAAAAGCAGCGTTGGTTGCAAGTGCTCTGCTCTTAACTAGAAACAAGGTGCGTCAGAGGTGGTGGCACCATGCTTTCGAGGCACGTCAAAACAACTTACATGTGCAAGCTCCGCATCATGGCTCCTGGCAAGGTGGCAGTACTCATGTGATGCTGCTGCACTCTCCGCCACCTCCCCATCTAACTCCTCGTCCACCGCATCTGTAGATCATGGGGAGGAAACAAACAGCAGGCGCAGACACAGGGAAGGCAGCAAGGAGCAAGCGCAGACACAGGGAAGGCAGCAAGGAGCAGGCGCAGACACAGGGAAGGCAGCAAGGAGCAGGCGCAGACATCATGTGAGGCGCCTCGAATGTGATGCTGCTGCACTCTCCGCCACCTCCCCATCTAACTCCTCGTCCACCGCATCTGTGGATCATGGGGCGGACGCAAGCGATGGGGGCAGACACACGGAGACAGCAAGCTCCGCATCATGGCTTCTGGCAAGGTAGGTTGCAGATTCCCATGACGGTCCTGGGTAGGTTGCATTACTCTGCTGCGCTCTCCGCCACCTCCCCGTCTAACTCCTCATCCACCGCATTTGTGGATCATGGGAAGGAAGCAAGCAACAGGCGCAGACACAAGAGAGAGACAAGTAGAATTCTTGGGAAAGAAGAGGCAGGAACGAGATGGCACCGCTGCCCTCTCTGCTGCTTAGCCTCCCTGTCTCGCATCTGCAGAGGAGGATAACACTTGCGAGTTCGCGCTGCAAATGTGGTCATACTACCCATGCACGACACACCACCACCCATTTACTACGTGCCAGCTCTGCGCAAGTGAGGGCCTGGAGAGTGGGGAGGTAGAAATAGGCTTCGCTGGGGAAGGCGGTGAGAAGCGAGGTGAAAGAGGTCACCACTACCCATGCACGCCCCACCACACCCCACCCCCATGCACCACACACCACCACCCATGCACCACACACCACCACCCATGCACGACGCACCTGCGCCGTGCAGAGTGAGCGCCTTGAGCGTGGGGAGGTAGAAGCAGGCGGCGCTGGGGAAGGCGGTGAGCAGCGAGGTGAAGTGCATGGAGACGAGGCGCATGGTGCGCGGGCTGCGCTCTGCTAGAGTCATTAGGCGCGCTACCATCTGATTGGGGTGGAGATGGGTAGAGGGAGACAGCGGGAGAGGGGGAGAGACGGAGAGCGGGATGGGGGAAGGCGGTGAGCGGTGGTGACAGCGCATGGAGAAGAGGCGCATGGAGAAGAGGCGCATGGAGAAGAGGCGCATGGTGCGCGGGCTGCGCTGCGCCAAGGACATAGGACGCGCTACCATCTGATTGGGAGGGAGATGGGCGAGCGGGGCAGAGGAAGCGAGCAGGAAGGGGGAGTGGGGCGGGCAGTGGTGGAGAGGCGGAAGACATTGGAGGTGCTCGGAAAGGCAGTGAGCAGTGGGGGGTGAGCAGTGGGGGGTGAGCAATGGGGGAGAAGGACAATGTGATGGTGAGGACAGGAAGGGGCATCTGTGAGAAATTTGGATTCTGGAGGTTCAGGAAACTCCCGAAATTCTGGAGGCTCAGAAGCCTTGTGAGATACTTCCTAGGGAACTTCCCAGGGAGCAAAACGACTTGGTATCAAAGATGAGCAAAACGCACCCACTGCAGAGGAGGCTCAATGCCAGAAGAAGCCAGGGCTTCAAACCCACTGCTATCATCGCTTCTGGGTGTATCAGCAACACCATCGGCCTCAGGAGGTTGTAAGTCAAAAGAGTGCATGCAGGGCAGGCAGAAGAGGGCTGGGTGGAAGATGGCGGAGAGGAAGGCCGCTAGCGGCGCCACCCTCCGCTTCTGCCCATCCTCCACTGCCCTCCAGGCTGATGTTACTAGCCGCCATGTGACCTGATAGTGTGGGGCAGAGGAGGAGGGGGTTTCACAATTTATAAGACGTCTCAAAAGTCGCTTCTGCCCGTCCTCCACTGCTCTCCATGCTGACGTTACTAGCCGCCATGTGACCTGTTGATGCGGGAGATGTGGAGGTGGGGGGGTTGAAGGGAAAGGAGAGGAGGGGAGAGGGAATTATGAGTGGAGAGGAGTAGGGAGTGGGCGCGAGAGGAGTGGGGGAGCGAGAGCAGAGGGGAAGGGAGGGAGAGAAATTCATCGGAGCAGTGAAAGAAAGAAAATCAATCCTACATGGCTAGACATATCTGGCGCCTTGCGCAGATGCTTGATTGTACCACATTGGACCCCATTCCACCTGCAAGCCGCCTGCTGACCAGCAGCACGCATTGTACCAGACTGGACCACATGCCTCTCACCCCAATGCACCCACCTCAACTCTTTCGCGGTTGGAGGGGAAGGTATCGAGCACACCCAACGAGAGGAGGGAGCGCAGGGCGCGGAAGAGAGGCAGGAACTGCTGCTCCTCCAAACCCTCAAGGCTGGACGCGGTGGGTTGTGGTGTGCGGCATGGCGGAATGGTGGGAAAGAAGATAACGCAGTGGCAAGAATAGAGTGGAGTTAGGTGGGCGGGCATATAACGGCAAGTAAGTGAGGATGGTAGAGTAGCGGGTGAAAGTGGTGAAGTATGGGGAGGAATTGTTAATGAGGCCGTTCATTAGGAACACAGATTGATGGAGGGGTGAGTGAATTCTGGACTGGACGCCAGCAGGGTGAATACAGTGATACGGGAAGCAAGCAGGCTGGAACGCACGCAACAACACGTTTTCAAGAACTAGAACAGTCAACAGCATGAACGAAGTGCTCATGAGAATGATGGATTTTGGTGGAAGAAAGAGGAGGTTCAATGAGAGCCAATAACCTGTCATTCAGGCGCCTGAAAAGTCCACCCACCTATCAGCAGCATCTTCAAGCAGCGCCTGCTGTACCGCAACCATCCTCTCCCTCTCCCTCTCCCTCTCCTCCTCACCCTCCACCACTGCCACTCCTGCTGATGAGCTGCTGCCACCAGCACGGAGCAGCAGTGCGGCGCACAGCAGTCCATCAACACAGTCCCACTTCACCTCCAGCAGCTGCGCCATTCTGCTGCGCGCCACTCCCCCGCCACTCCTGCCCGCTGCCCCTGCCACCTCCACCACCGCCTCTAACAACCACAGCACCCCTGCCCCTCCCGCCCCTCCTGCCCCTCCCGCCCCTTCACCCCCTCCCGCCCCTCCTGCCCCTCCAGCCCCTCCTGCCCCTCCTGCCCCTCCTGCCCCTCCTGCCCCTCCTGCCGTTCCACTCTCCCATCCTGCCGCTCCTCTCCCCTCGCCTCCTGCCCCTCCTCCTCCTCCTCCCGGCCCCTCCTCGCTTCCCTGCAGCGGATGCTGTTGCTGCTGCTGTGACGGCAGTGCTGCTACGGCGCCCACAGCAAGTAGATGGCACACTGGCTGTAGCAGCTCGAGACAGCCCAGCAGTAGCTCTGCCTCCACCTGGTGGTGTTGATGGTGGTTGGGATGGTGGAGGGGATGATGGAGGCAGGGCATGATGATGGTTGAATGGTGTAAGATAGATGGCAGTGCTGCTACGGCGCCCACAGCAAGTAGATGGCACACTGGCTGTAGCAGCTCCAGACAGCCCAGCAGTAGCTCTGCCTCCACCTGGTGTGCGGTGGATGATGGTGGTGGGGAAGGTGATGGTGGGATGACGATGGTGGGATGATTATAGTGGGATGATGATAGTGGGATGATGATAGTGGGATGATGATAGTGGGATGATGATGGTGGGATAATGATGTTGTGATGATGTGGTGATAGGGAGTGGGCAATGATGGTTGTGCGATGATGGAATGGAGGGAAGAAAACAACGCAGCAGCAGGCTTACATTTGGCAACACGTGCGAAATTCAGAGAGCATGGCACGTCCAACATGGCGCATGGCCCACGGCGCATGGCCCACGGCGCATGGCCCACGGCGCATGGCACACGGCGCATGGCACACAGCACAGAGTAAGCGTACATCCATGACCACGCAAAGCCCAGACTCCCCATAACACATTGTGACTCGTCGTAAAATCGTTATGACTCACCTCAGAGTGCGGTCACTTGCTCTTGTGGCACAGCTTCAGAGCGCTCCCAACACAGCCGCCCACCCACCCACCAACACTCATTTTGAGACGCCGTAAAAGTCGTCGCAATGGCTCACCTCAGTGTGCCGCCACTTGCTCTTGTGGCACAGCTCCAGGGCGCTCCCAACACAGCCGCCCACCCATCCACGGATGCTCGCCTCCATACCCGCAAGCCAAGATATGTCACTCGCATCATGAGGCTTCGCGCCTGCTCCATTCTCTTCTCTTGTACCCGTAATGCTCATGTCCGGTTGCATGTGCATGTGTGCCCATCTAGCAGCCGCTGCGAAGCAGCGAACCAGATTAACCTGTGGATGTGAGGTTGTGACATGTGGAAGGTCTGGTTTTTGAGATGATATTGCAGTAATTGCAGTCATGGTGCCACTCCCTTTCACAGGCAGAAACAAAGGAATTGATTTGGCAAGGAGCTGGAAGAAGAGAAAGACGAGAGGATAAGGAGGCTGAAAACGACGAGAGGATAGCAATGAACGCACGGGGGGCAGAGGGTAGAGGAAGAACAGGCCTGTATTGATAACGAGTTCAGCAAGAGCAGCAGCAGAAGTAGAAGCAGGTATAAGCAGCACTGACCGCGCGCAACACAGCAGCACCGGTGGTGAGAGGCAGGCGGCGCAGAGTGGGGCCTCCGAGCTTCCCCCGCACTGCGGCTGGTAGAGGTGCCGAGGAAGTGGCTAGAGAGGCCAGTGAATCCGGGCTGGCGAAGAGAAACTGGTCTTGGGAGGCCAAAGCAGTGAGAGATGGCTGCATGTCCACCGTGCATGTATGTATCCATCAAGGGCCGAAACCGTAAGACCGGGAAGTAACGGGTAGAGTGAAAAGGGGAAAAGGAAAAGAAAAAGAGAGAATGACGACAGGAAAGGAAATAAAAACGACTGGTGAGTTTGCTGCATCGGCGGTTGCATTGCAACCCAAGCGCACGAATCATCCAAACAATAAGAAGCAAACGGAACAAGAGACTAGAATCTGCTCAATCAAGACTGCAAACTGACACGAAAGCAAGTTCCTACAACAAGAACTAATGAACAAATTTTTAAAAAAAAAAAAAAAAAAGGGAAGAAGAAGAAGAAGGAGGTCTTCATACCATGACGTGGGAAAGAAGCTCCAGCAAGGAGTTTCTTGAAGCCAGCATCATCTGCCTTGCACATGCACTGCTGCTCATGTCACTGCTGCTGCTGCTGCTGCTGCTGATGCTGTTGTTGGTACTGCTGACGGTGCTATTGTCAGCAGCTTTCATGCAGCCCTTCCAATAGCGTTCTGCCACGTCATACTGCTCCAGCAGCGCCTGAAGCAGAACGAGCAGCCTCTGCCTGCCACCTGGCGGCATGTGAGAGGCCAGAAGATCTGAAAAGAGTCCCTGAAGAGCCTGTGGAAGTGAGGTGAAGAAACAATGGGGACGCAAGAAGGGGAGGAGAGCAGGAAGGGTGGGTAAGGAGCAATTGCAGCAGCAAGACCAGAGGAGAGGGAAAGTGTTATGGCAGCCACAGCTTTAATCAGCACACAAATGCTAATCCGCACACACACTTTTGAGACCCCTGAAAAAATAGCACACACAAGCACAGCACAGCACAGCGTGGTAACGCCACGTTGCACCACAGCTCTCAGCCCAACTCACCTGTTGAGCCGACTCAAATATCACCAGAGGCGCACACACTTCTAAGCTCACCTTCCCTGCTGCTGCAAGCACGTGCGGTGACGGCATGGCAGCAAGCAGCACGAGGCAGCAGCGAGCAGAGGCAGCATGCCACGACGCCAGATCACTGTCAGATATCACGTCCACCAACCTCTCATCCTCCTCCTCCTTCTCCGTGCCCCCCACCTCCTCCCCTTGCCTGCCCCTCCCTTCCTCCGCTTCCCTCCCTCCATAGTCCTCTGTTTCTGCCCCGCCCAGCTCTTCTCGGGACTGTAGCAGCAGTGCCTCCTCCTCTGCCTCCTCACCAGCAGACTTTCCCAGGACAAAGAAGCGCAGTGCAGTGATTAGCCTCTCTGCCAGGTGGCAGCTGGCGAATGGCTGGGGTTCTGTCAGCGAAGGTCCAGTCAGTTCGTTGGTAGAGGGACTTGCAGAAGAGGCAGCACTACTGGTACTGGTGGGAACGGTGGTGGTGGTGGTGGTGGTGGTGGTGGCGCTGGTGACACTGCTGGCAGTGGTGACACTGGAAGTGCCAATTTGTGTCGGGGGATTGCTGGGCATGTGGGTGGATGGTTGTCGTGCGTGCAGCCAGCTCACAATGGTTGATCGTACGGATGCTGCACGGTTCAATCAATGGGCACAAGTGAACCAACGGAAAGGGAGGTGGGGGAAAGAGAGGTGGACCTATTTGTACTACGGCCAAGGCTGGAGGGACAGCAAGCATTGTGACTGACTGATCTGTTGGAGATCTGAAAACGGAGGCTGCAAAATGCATGAAGACGTACAGGAAAGAACAGGAGAGGAGAGGAGAGGAGAGTGCAAAATGCACTATTTAACAAAAAAAACTTGCGATAAGCATAAAAACACACGCAAAAACGGAAAGAAGCAATTGGAGGACAAAGAGGGGCAGAGCAGGAAGAACAGAGACAGCTTGCCTGTGGAGAGCAAGCCTTGGTGCGGCAGGATGCAGAGGAGGCGGAGGAGGAGAGGCGTGGAAAGGTGGGAGGCTGTCACAGATGCTGTCACTGCTGCAAACACGTGCGTTGACACTGTTGTTGCAGGTGCAGGGGCCAAGGGAAAGGAGGGAGGGGGGAAGGACGGGTGGAAAAAACCGATGGAAAACAGTTTCAACCAACCAATCCGAACAATAATACGTGGCATGACATGGTAATCAATTTGTGCATGGTAAAGGGAGAGACATGTAACCACAGAAGTGAAAATGATGAACAAGAAACATCACACAAGGAAAAGCTGGAAAGAGTGCACTAACAAAACGCAGGGAAAAGAACCACAGAAGAGAACTTCCTCTGTGTCCAGCCAACCAAAAAAAGAACCTCCCCTCTCCTCTTTCCACCTTTGAGCCGAAAGGCCGGGTTAAAGTGCCTCCGTGCCATCTCCAGTACTTGACAAAACAGCATCGCCAACTGCACTTCCTGCTCCACGCCCTCACCCGTCCTCCCCTCCTCCAAACACGCAACCAGATCCTTCAAGTAACCCATATTGTCCTGTGATAACGCCTTCCCTTCCTCCTTCCCCTCCGTCCCCTCCTTCCCCTTCGCTCCCGCGCCCCCCTCCCCGGCCTCTGCAGTGCCCCGCGCCATGTGTCTGGCAGTGAGGAACGCAGCAGGCACAGCAGCGGCATGGATGCACATGGCGCATGTCATGTGGCCTATGCGCCCGGGCATGATGCTAATCATGCTGCACAGCAGTCGCTGCAGGAGGAGCGGACGGGCTCTGGTGGGAGGAATGGGGGGGTTGAGGGGAGTGTGGAGGGGTGGATGGGGAAATAGAGGGGTTGAAAGAGGTGGGAATGGGCCTGACTGGACTGTTACTTGTGGTGATGATGTTGATCTTGGTTGGGGGCGGGCTGTGGAAGAGGAGCGGACAGGCTTTGAGTTGAAGGGAAGAATGGAGCGAAGAGGGGGGGTACAGGGGGTGAGGAGTGGAGTGGAGGGGTTAGGGGAAGGGGGAAGGAGGTGGGTGGGGTGGGAATGATGCGAGCTGCGGTTTCATTTTCGCAAGAACAAGGCCGGTGATTCCGGTGGAGAGAAGACGACGAACGAGAAGAGCACGAGCTCTGAAATGCGAATGGCAATGGCAGTGCCAGGCGCAGAGGTGGGCAACAGCATACCAGGCAGAGGTGCCATGCATACCGGGCTGGGAGAGAGGCCGATAGTTGGGCAAAGATGCATGCTGCTGCTTCGGCAACAGTGGACGAGTATCGATCCCTGATGCCTGCAGGGGGGGGAGGAAATAGCAGAACAGGAAAAAAAAAAATCATTCTATTGAGAGAGGAAATGAATTGCTGTGGTGTGGCGAGAGAGTGAAAGGGGCTGGTTGGCTGGAAAAGGTAACTCTCTGCACAGAGCAAAAAGAATTGGGAGGATTTTGTGGGGCGAAGGAAGAGTTTCCCTTTTCTTACAAGAATCGGATTTGGAAGGCAGCAGACGGTAGGAAAGTGGAAGGAGAATAGGAGAACCAGGCAACGCGAGGATGAAAATGGGTGGCGTACCGAAATCCGGATGGCAAGAGGGGTTATCCAGAGCAGGTAGGAAGACATCTAGCAGGAACGTCAGGGGTAAACGCCCCACTTCCCACTGCTGCTGCTGCTGCTTCCCTCCATCACCCTTAGTGGTTCCTCTTCCTTTCTCTGCTGCTGCAGTGTGCAATTGCGTGTCTGCCTCTGCCTCTGCCTCTTCCCCTGCAAATGCCATGTCCTTGGGCGCAGCAGGAGACGAGTCAACATCACATCCAAAGCAGCGGAGGAAAGATGACATGACCAGCCGGCGAACTGGCAGAGGGGAGGTGGGGGTTGGGGAAGAAGAAGAAAAAGAGGAAGGGAAGTGAACGGAATGGACAGAAGAGGAGGCAAAGAGGAGCGGATAGGCACGAACAAGTGAAACACCACGATTTCCTGTGCTGATTAAACTGAAACAGGAGGAAACGTGCATCATGCTTACAGCTGTGTCATGACATGGGTGCACAGAAAAACGTTTTCTGAGTGAGGAGAGGAAACAGGAAGCTTTTTGGATAAAGAGATGGAGCAACTATGTCTGCAAAAGCAAGCACTAGACAGGGCAAGAATTAACGATAGGAGGAGGCAGAGTGGCAAGACCCACAGCGATGAATTCTGAATGCAAAAGGGGCGTGCCTTGCGGGTTGTTGTGTGAGAAGCCTCTTGTCCATGCAATGCAGATAAAAGGGAGGTCCACATCGGGTATAGCAACGCCCCAAGAAGACAGAGCTGGAGATACTGCATCCACTTCAGTAGCAGGCCCAGTAGCAGCAGCAGCAGCAGCAGCAGTGCCAATGGTAGAGCCAGTGGACTGCTGTGAGTGGGTTGATGAAACTGCAGTGGAGGAGAGCAGGAAAGACATCTGCAGAGTGCAACACGGGTGGCATGGCAACATGTGTGTGAATACAGATTGGCACAAGGGAGGGAGACACAAACACAAGTTTAGAGAGAGCACGACCTACGGTGTCTCGAAACAGGAAACGCAATCCAGCAAGGGAAACGTTAGGCAGAAAAGAAACATCGGACAAGGAATAACACACGGTGAGAACACGAAAAGCTATCCACCAGAGCAGATCAGAGGCAAGCAGAGAGGCAGGCGAGCAGTGCACAACAGGGCATGATATGTTATATGAAGCACACCTGTGGGTCCCACACAGCTTCTGACAGATGCACTCCAAACTCATCCAGAGTGTTCAGCACCAGGCTCAGCGCCTCCCACCGCTCACTTCTCCTCAGCACCTCTTCCAACTCCTCTGCTACCACCCTCGCCTGCTCCTCCCACTGCCTCTCCCTTTGCTCCCTTTTTTCCGCTGCTGTTTCTGCTCCCTCCACCCCCTCCTCCGCCTGCCGCTGCTGCTGCTGCTTGCTGCTCTCAGCCTCCTGCCCTGTTTCACCGTCATCCTTCTCCCTCTCTCCACCCCTCTCCACCCCACCAAAAGCCCCACTTCCACCTCTCCCATCATGGATAATCCCTATCACCTCCTCCTCCGCCCACCGCTCCCTTTTCACGCTCTGCCCTGCATCCCCCCTTCCCCGTGCCTTCTCTCCGCCCTTCCCCTTGGCTTTCCCCTTCCCCTTCCCCTTCCCCTTCCCCTTCCCCTTCCCCTTCCCCTTGCCTTTCCCCCTGCCGGCCGCCCCTGGTTCCTCTCCCCCCTGCCCAGGCCTAGCGAGTGCGTGCCTGAGCTGCTGCAGCACCCTGCGAATGGGGTCGCAAGCGGGAACGGCTGCTTGGAGCAGGAACGAGGCTCGCTTGTGAGTCAGACCGTCCTTTGACACCTGGGGAAGTAGGGAAAGGACGGGGAAGGATGAAGGAGGGAAAGTGCTAGGATGTCTTTAAATTAAGAGGCCTGATTGTGAGTGAGACGACCGTCCTTTGACACCTGGAAGGGGTGGGGAACAACGGACAGGAAGGGAGGGCAGTGGGGAGTGGAGAGAAGAATTTTAAGACATCTCAGAACAAGGAGGCTCGCTTGTGAGTGAGACGACCGTCCTTTGACACCTGGAAGGGGTGGGGAACAACGGACAGGGTTTTGGGAGGGCAGTGGGGCATGGAGAGAAGGATACTGAGACATCTCCAAACAACAAGGCTCGCTTGTGAGTGAAACCGCCCTTTGACACTTGAAAGAAGTGGGGAACGGACGGGAAAAAAGGCGGAAGTGGGGGAAGAAGGGGGGAAACGTACCAGGCCTAGCCTTAGCAGCGCCCACAGGTGCGGCTGCTGGCGCAGGTCGAAGCAGTGAGTCGGGCGGGGTAAGGGCGAGCCGTGATGAAACGGGCCGGGTGGGGGGAGGATCGGGGGGAGGAGCAGGCGATTGAACAAGACGAGTAGGCTGATGAGCTCGGAGAGAAGGGGCGGAGGGAGAGGAGGGAGCAAGGGGGAGGTGTGGGCTGAAAGCTCGGCAACAGCGGGGGATTTGGAAGAACTTCCAGCAGCAGCAGTGGCGGCAGGATCAGCAGCGGCAGCGGCGGCGGTGATGAGAGGGCGTGCAGGGCTGATGAGTTGCTGCAGTGTGTGCCAGACTGCCAACGCACACTGCTCCCTGCCATGGCACGGATGGATAGAGTGAGTGGATGTGTGGGTGGGGAGAGGGATGTTTGATGAAATGAACATGCATGTTGCACATCAGGAGAGGGCAGGGCGAGGGGCAGAGAGGAGGAGAGGATTGGGGTAAGGTGGGTAAGCGAGTAACGAAGGATAGAGGGACGGGAGAGGAGGGGGAGCTTGGAAAGAGGGGTGGCGGTGATGAGGCGCTTGGTAATGAATGGGGCAGGGTGATCTAAAATGACACACAAGATGACGCCCGTGCACGTGCGCGCGCACACACGCACCTGCTTTCCCTCCACCCATTCCATGCACCCTCAGCACCACCCCCAAGCTGCCCACAACCATCCTGCTCCTGCTGCTGCCGTCCCTGCTGCTGCTGTTGTGGGTAGTCTGGGTAGTCTACCCCCACCAGTGCATCCACAGCAGCAGGCAGAAGGCGGTCGAGAGCCGTGGCTCGCAGGGCAGAGAGGGACGCAGAGGAAGGGGTGGAGGAGGAGGAGGTGGCGGAGGAGAGGAGGATGAAGGGGAGCGATACAGAGAGCGTGGCCCTGACAGCATGCTGTAGCGTTAGTAGGGGAGTGAGTGTTGGTTGTTGTTGAGTGGAGGGGAGGGCTTGTGAGTGTGGTGCGATGAGCGGGAGAGGCGATGCTGCAGCAGCTGCTGCGTCTGTGGCAGTTGCGGGGGTGGCCTGGGCTGCGGTTGGCGGTGCTGGTTCGAGGGAGCAGAGGGAGGAGTGGGAGCAAAGGGAGGAGAGAGAGGAGAGGAAGCGGGAGAGGAGAGTGGCGGCAAGGGAGGGAGGCAGGCTGAGGGCCTGGGCGCATGCACAGTGAGGCCCCAGGGGACGACCCAGAGGAAACGAATCAATCAAAGAGGAGGAAGAGGTGGAAGACGGGGAGGAGGTGGAAGTGGGGGGAATTGTTGCTGGTTTGGGTGTGGTGGAAGTTGGGTGGTGGTGGGAGTGTGGTAGATGGAAGGGAGAGAGGCAGGCGGGGAGGAAGGCTTGCAGGGCGAAGTCCCAGTGCGCGCCGTTGACCAGACAGGCCACACATGAGTCTATGAGAGCCTGATGGTATGTGGTTCAGGGTGCATGGGAGAGAGGGAAACACAGGAACGTCTTTTGAGACGCCACAGAAGGCTGGCAGAGCGAAGTTCCAGTGAGCGCCGTTGACCATACAGGCCACACATGAGTTTATGAGAGCCTGATGGTGGTGGTTTGTATGTGGATAATGGATGGATGGATGGATGGATGGATGGATGGATGGATGGATGGATGGATGGATGGATGGATGGATGGATGGATGGATGGATGGATGGATGGATGGATGGATGGATGGATGGATGGATGGATGGATGGATGGATGGATGGATGGATGGATCAGGGTGCATGGGAGAGAGGGAAACATGGGGAGGAGGTGAGGAGATGTGGAGTGAGAAGCAGATGTAAAGCTCTTTACTGACTGGTTAGCAGGAGTTTGTGAGTTGGAGGAGGAACATATGCAGGTGGATGGCGTGGTATGCAGGTGGAGGGTGTCGTAAGATCGGATAATAGCAGGAACAAATGCAGGTGGTATCCTCTAATTAGCACCAAACACAAAGAAGCTGAGGAGAGAACAGACACACAGAAGCGCGCGCGCGCGCGCGCACACACACACAAGGCCAAAGGAGGAGGAGAGTGATGGGAAGGAGGAACAGCACCTGGAAGGTCTCTGCAGGCACGGACTGCTTTCCACTCGCCTCCTCCTCCTCTGCTGCCCCATGGCTTTTCCTGGCAGACTGTGACAGTGATTGCTGCTGCTGCTGGTGATGGTGGTGTTGCAGCGAAGGCAGCACACATCGGCACATGAGTGCATGCAGGTGGGCTGCCTGTTGCTCTGTCCCAGCAGCAGTGGGAATAGGATGGGAGGTGTACATACACCATATATATACGCTTTGACATACAGTTATATACGGAAAAACACACAAGGAGAAAAGGAAGTACATTCAAGTTGCGCTATGAAAAAGCGTTAGTACGCTCATCTGTCCCTCTCCTTCATCTGTTCCACGGTACTTCATCCGCCCCACTCATTTTCCCCCTTCCTCTCCCACTCCTCAGCCGCTCCCTCCCTCCCCTGCTACTTGCAATTTTACAACATGCTCTGTTTAGACTGTCTTTGCTCATAGTACCCACCCGCTCACTGATTAAATCCCCTCACCCCATCACAACCCCCTAAATTCCCTCGCACTTCCTCACATGTATCCTTTACACTCAAATGAATTCTGTCTTTCTCCACGCATCCCCCTACCTCCTCCCTCCTCACCTCCCTCACCCTCACCTCCCTCCTCACCTCCCTCCTCACCTCCCTCCTCACCGCCCTCCTCACCGCCCTCCTCACCTTGTGGCAGCCCCTGCAACAGCTGGCATGCAACAAACGCCCGCGTCAGGCCCTTCCCATTCTCCACCGCGCGCGTCCCACACTCCTCTCCCAGCTTATCCTCTCCTCCATCCCTTCTCTTAAACCCTGATTCTTGATCATCTATGGGCGCAGTTGTCTATAGTTGTGGGAACAAGGGGAGAGGTGGGAGATGGGAAGGCAAAGGAGTGGAATATGGGGAGAACGCGAGGGGTGTGTTGACACGCACGAGCCAGGCAGGCGGAAATCCGTGAGGGGTTTACCAGGGTTGAAGGTTTAATAACGGCTAGAAGGGTCGAAAGTTTGAGTAGAGCGAGGAATGATAGTCAATAACAGCTTCCTGCGCTGCTGAAAAAACTGAGAAACAGCCTCCACATGATGTTGAATTAGCAGCACTCGTGTTGAGCTAACACATGTGTTGAGCTAACACACTTGGTGTCACGCATTTCCCACCTCGCTCAAAAGCGCGCACAGAAGCTGCCGCGGCTCGACTCCGCACGCCGCGATCACTGTTCTTGTGACGGCCGCCGCGAGCGAACCCGCTGCGGATGCCGTTGCGCCGTCGCTGCGCGCCGAATTCCATAGTAAACCCTGAAGCTGCTCTACTAGGCGATCTGCCGTTGCCCGTGCTGGTGCTCCTGCCGCTTCTATGACGATACCTGGGCCTGACATTGCAGGGAAATGTGGCACTCCGTCCATCTGGAATAGGTTGAAGTGCGTGCACGGGCTGAAATCATGGGGGGAAGACGTTTTGTGCTTCCCTTTGGCTTGCCTCGGAAAGGGTTTTTATGTACAGCTGTTACACATTCTTTTTGTAAATGAGTTATACACTTCTGGAACGTGTGAACGAAACATGAGACTGGGACTCTCTCCTGCCTCGGTGGCGTGCTTTGTGGTGGGCTGAAGCCTCCGAATTACTTTGCGGAATGTGTAGAATAATAATATGGTAAGGAGAGGGGCACATGTAGGAATGTGGGGGGGGGGGGGGGGGGGGGGGGGGGGGGGGTCCTAACATATATTTAAAAATCAGAGTCTTAAATATGTCCAGTAGCACACGAAGAGTAGCCATCTTCGTTGTGGGGAGAAGGTCTGGAATAAGTCTATGCCCGCACGCTGACTGACGCCTCTCGCCATATAGCATGTCTTGAAGGCATGCGGCGATCTCGGCGGCCGCTTCACCTTGAGGATCCACATGCCATCAGCTACGTTCGCCCTGCGAGGAAGAACGGCGTTATCACGTGCCCGTGTGCCTCTAAAATGCCATCTTTGCGTCCATGGCTTCAATCTACTGAAATTCCACTGTCCCGACACTGTCTTGTCAAACTATATATGTGCTAGTTTTGTGTAGGCTATGGTGGGGTTGCACATATAGGGGACAACCCAATATTGAAGTTAGTACTTGTACCCACAATTCACTCAATGCAATCCTTTTGCTTGCTATCTTGACACGGTTTCAGAGCAGTAGGTCCATAGGACCGTTTTTTTTTTCTGGGCCCACCATACTTTGCGACTGACTGCAGTTACCGCGTAACCCCACTACCTTGCTTCGCGCTGTTCTCTGGCACCACCATCTGGGTCACCCCTCCTTGCTCCGTCTACGTGGCATGCACCGTCGCCTCCTTGTGTCTGGTCTTCCTAGGTCTCTCCCTCCCCTCCCTGCCTCGCCTGCGCCGCCCTGCCTTCCTTGCGTCGAGGGGCGGCAGCGCGCCGCTCCTCACTCCTCCTCGTTTCCCCCGACAGAGGCTCCCCTGCAGACCCTCCACCTGGACGTGTGGGGCCCAGCCCGCGTTCGTGGACAGGGCGGTGAGCGGTACTTTCTGCTGGTTGTCGACGACTACTCGCGTTACACCACGGTCTTCCCCTTGCGCACCAAGGGTGAGGTCCCTGCTGTCTTGATCCCTTGGATCCGCGTAGTTCGTCTCCAGCTCCGCCGGAGGTTCCGGACGTACCTTCCTGTCCTGCGTCTGCACTCTGACAGAGGTGGTGAGTTCACCTCCGACCTCTTGCGGGCCTTCTGTCAGAGGGAGGGCATCGAGCAGTCGTTCACGCTTCCGGGCTCACCGCAGCAAAATGGGGTTGCTGAGCGCCGCATTGGCTTAGTCATGGAGATCTGTCGTACCTCCTTGATCCATACTGCGGCTCCCCACTTTCTGTGGCCGTTTGCGGTACGGTACGCCGCGCATCAGCTCAACATCTGGCCCTTTGTCTCCTTGCCAGAGACCTCGCCCACACTGCTGTGGACGGGAGAGGTTGGCGATGCGTCGCGTTTCCGGGTCTGGGGTGCTCGTGCCTTTGTCCGCGATACCACTGCGGACAAGCTCTCCGCCCGCGCTGTTCCCTGTGTCTTCCTTGGCTTTGTCCCTGACGCGTCTGGCTGGCAGTTTTACCACCCCACCTCGCGCCGCGTCTTCCCATCTCAGGACGTCACCTTTGACGAGTCGGTTCCTTTCTACCGTCTCTTCCCCTACCGCACTGCCCCTCTCCCTCCCCCGCCGCTTTTTCTTGCTCCAGGCCCAACTACGGTAGACCCCCTCCCCCCTCAGGGTCTTGCTCCTTCAGGTGTGTCTCAGGTAGACCCACTCCCCTTGGCTGAGCCTTTGGAGGTCACTTCCGACACCTCTGGCCCAGCTGAGGGGGGTGACGTTGCTGCTGACGCCCCGGCGGCCTACCGCCGCA